CTACATTTTAAAATTTGGACTATTCCATGTATTGTATACTGAATTTTGATGAGTTACAGAACAACTTTTATGTAAGAATCAAAGGAAGCATTACTTGTGCACCATGAAGACATTAATCCATGGAATTTTGGATCCATGGCAGTCATTCGAAGGAAACCCACGCCACGTGGGACTCCAGTGGCTAAATGACAACGACAAGCTCTTGGAGACATTCCCACTTGGCACTGCCCAGGATGCAGAGCTTTAGCCTTAGGATCAAAATATTTTCCAGAAAAAAAAAAAAAAGACGACAGCCTCACAGCTTTCATATCAGAAAAAGGATCCCAGAAAGTCCCGCCAAACCAATTAAGTAACCTGGTGCTGTCTGAGATGATAAATGAGGAGGAAGTTAAAAGAAAAGAAAAAAAAAGGTAAATCAGACTGAACTGGCAAACTGGAATAAAAAATTTCAGAACTGTTGCCCACTGGAAGACGTAGGTACTGCTCCGAGTCTGATGCAATAAATCCGAAGGTAGGCTGCAATGGATACCCTAGCTAAGCAGACCTAGGAATGACACGGAAAGCACAACGTGTTAATAATGCTACTTCCCGCCTATCTGGCCAGCGCTGATTTAGCTTCTGCAGCTCAAGTCTGAAGCTACGTACTTATACGTGTACACAGCAGGTTGCTTGAACAATCTGGAACTCCGACCTGATTTGGTCTGGGACACGACAGTGACTGCAAACGACGAGAGACCTGTGTCGCTGATGAAAAATACACTGAAAGCGAAAACCCACCAGTGAGGTACTTCTCCTTCAGAGACCATTCTGGGGATGAACTGATTACATTCTCATAGAACTTAAAAAAGGGGTTTAAAAAATTCTTTCATCCAATTTCCTGTCCTTTTAGGCCGTGTACGAACACGGGTCATTTCAGCTCTTAAAGCACTGACATTCTTGAATGCTTACAGCATCTTAACAGCATTTTTCTCCGTGATTCTTTCCTAGGGGATAAAGCAATGGCAAGAGTAACAAAAGGAACGATTTTTTCAAAGATCAAAGTTGCACCTTATTTGGACCTTACAGTTCATGGTTAGGATCACAGAAAAACTAGGTGGTTTTCATAAAAAAGAAAATGGAAACAATATGTTTTAATAAAGGAAAATAAGCGTACCTAAATGTAACTGTGCAGAAGACTGCACAGAAAGGAGAAAGCCTTGGCATTGCCTTGGCATGGGTGCATCTGGGAGATCTTCGGAGTCCTCCATTCAATGCTATTTACAATTTAGCCAATAATGACCATTTCGCTCTCCTTCATTTGTTTTTAGACTCTAGAATCTGGTAATATGTTAGCTCCCTAGTAAATCAAACCTGATTTAAAGGCACCATCTGCCATATGAAGTGCACCATGGGGATGTCAAAAAATGTCCTTTTGCCACAGCTATCCTATTACATTTACGCCCCATCCAAACTGTACAACAAGCAGCAGATCAGGACAGACCAGAAGAGAGAAGTTTAGCAGGAATTGGATCAGTGTTTTGAAATGCAATTCCTGATGGGATCCAACATATGCAGAGCTAAATGCGCACACTCACACACATATACAGAGTATCTAATCCTATCTTGAGATAGTTGGGAAGGGATAAAAGGAAAGTTTAATTATACTCGTGTTTGACATTCTCAGAAAATGCGACACTGCGGTGGTGAAGGTAGGAAGTGACAGACGAGTGAGGACGTGAGAAGGAACCATAAGCTCCAACCGTGAACGATGCTGATTTCACTGTAGCTCAAGTACTAGCAGCCTGTTTCATTTTGTGTCTAAGTTCATTATTATTTCTCCCTTCAGTGCCACTTCCGAGCTATTCGGCAACAGATATCGGTGCGTTTTCAGCCACGGATTGTTATTACAGGAAGAATTACCCGTGTAGACAGACAGAGTGACTTCCCCATGCTCCCTCTGCCACATTCCCGGGAAGCATACCAAGGTCCTTAAGTCTCAATCTTGTGCTTGAATCACAAGATACATCCCCTTCTTCCACAATACTCAAAAGCACGCTACAGTTTGCAAATCCCTAATTGCTAGAAATAACATCGTTACTTAAAATCCATGTGGAACAAAATATTTTCCATTATTCCTTTGATGAATCCAGGCATGTGTTTCAAGGCTCCTGCTCTGAAGTCTAATAGCTTCTCCATGCCCTAGTTAGGTCAGACAGGGCCCTATTCATAGCTCATAAACGAGGGGAGGATTTACGATCACCCTGAGTGCAAGGGACGAGCTGGAGGGAAGGCTCTTTTTGCGGGCAGGCGCAGATCCTTCAGTCCAGAAGGCGAGAGGATGTGGACTGGCCGCAGTCTGTTGCTAGCTTTTCTGTTGGCTGCTGTTTTGGAGGTAGTAGTTACTTCGATGGCTCCTGCTTCCCTAGAAGCAACACTAGCTGAATAGGGGCATGGGGGTGCAAAGTGTCCTTCCTCTGAAGCAGCCATCCTGAGCGAGATCAGATGGAAAACACACTTCCACTGGGAAAGGGAGCAATGTTCAACCTGCTTTGGGATGGGGTTGAGGGCTCAGGGATGGCCAAGCAAGAGGTTCAGGGGCTGGAAAGTGCCTGTGACCAATGGAGAACATCACTGGGGCAATGAGGCACAGAGACTCAGCGGGGACTTGCATAAGCAACCTTAATTCTGACACATCGTTTTATCTAGCGTTTGATTTTTGTGCTCATATTCTTTGAGCTCTTGAAACCATATGGCTTGAAAATTGAAAAACGGAGCCAAAGGGATTGCTCCACGGATCTTGGTGACTCTCTCATGTCGTGTGTCATGGCCACAGGATCCAGTCCCTCATACCTGCCCAGGGGTGGAGATGGGAACAGATGTTCCCACCAGAGCAGTTTTGGTGTCTTTGCAGTCATCTTCTCAGCATCTGCAGCAGGCTTCTGGCATTTCTGTCCCAGTTTTACATCCCTGCTTTCTTAGCTCCCTCCTGAGTTTTCCACAGCACCTCTCTCTTCTCCAGCTCCTGCTCACTATTTCCTCGGACTGCAGGCTCTATCCCGTTATTGCTCAGTGCTCCAGTGACTGCCCCTGCACTTGCTTCCACTGGAGATTTAAAATCTGTGACTGAAAATTGGAAGGCAAAACCCAAACAGCTGGGATTCATAATAACTCGCATTTCTAAATGGAAAGTGAACTTGAAACCACATTTTTTGTATTTAAGCACAGGGCAAACAGAGCCCTTTTGACTGTTTAAAAACACGTTTTGAGTTAATGAGTTTGTTGATATCAACAAACTGGCATTTCTGATGGAAAAAGCCTTGAACAGCTTTAAGACACACATACCCAGATGGTTTATATACCATGTAAGAGACTTAACTGAACGAAATCTCCCTAAGAGCGAGACAGGGTTTTTACAAATGGCATTAACTGGATGCTTGCTCATCCTTTTACCCCAGATAAGTGTAATTTCTAGTGAAGCATTGAGCTGAAAAGTCCACCCTAGGAGATGGTGCCTCTCACCCCTGTCCCCGCTGCCCAGGTAGCACAAGCAGAAACAACCTGGAGTGGCAGCGTGGCTATTTTCCTCCAGAGGATGTATTTCTGTGTGACTTCAATGCAAAGAAATAACATCACACAGTTTAGAGAGAAAATAACGTTCAGGTTATTTTCTCCTTGACCAGAATTAGCCACATTCTCCTCCAGTTAATATAAATCTGGTCCACATTAAAATGTTAAAAGCCCTCCCCTGGAAAAAAAAATAATCAAAAAATTATGAATGTGAGTAGATGAAGCAGGAAAGGGCGTCCAGAAGCTAAAGTCTTCATTAGAACAGCACATAAAACTCAGAGGAGACAAGAGGGAAGCACCAGGAGTTGGCACCCCAGGAACACGCTGTTGAGAAGGGGACATGGGCAAGAGGTCCCCGCTGAACTGCTTGTGCGGGAGGCATGGGCTGTGGGGAAAGACACACATGCTGGCAGCAGATTCCCTGCTGGCCGATCTGCCTTTCAGCACAGGAAATGTATCCTCTAACGCTTCATTTTAATGGCTGGCTTTCAACAGCTCCGCAGTTGTATGATGTCGCTGAAATATTTGTAAGCACAGCAAAGCGTGCTTTAGGGCTGTGTGTGAATTCTTTCTGAAGGGCTTAGAGGGGAGCTGAGCTAATCATAAACCATCTCCATTTAATGATAATAGTTTATGTTCACGTAACTTCTTCATCTGAATGGGTACACAAGGGTTCGGTGGACTATCACGGGAGATCGTGGCATTTACATGCACCCAGGGAAGCACACAACGTCTTCAGAGGCACAAGTTGCTGCCATCGGTACTTACTAGGTATTTTATCTAGTCAAGTCAGAAGCTCTGTCACAAAATCGTTTGCACAATATCCGTAATAAGAGATGGCTCGCTGTCCTTACAGCCTCACTGTACTGGCTAGGAGAAGGGGTTGCTGTTGCCCCATTTCCCAGGCCACACTGATGGCCACTTACTGGTCTCACAGCAGCGGTGGGAACCAAACACCCACAGCTCCACCAGCACTTTATCTCTGTTTTTATCACTTTTAGCATTGAATGCTGGGGCCTGCTGCTTACAAACCACATACCTATGTAGCCCATTTTACGGTTGATAGATTGTGGCTAATTAGCCAAATACTGTTCTCAGAAAACATATAGAAACTTTATGCCTCTGAGCACTTTAATCAAAATTATTAATTGAAATTGGCCAAGGTATTCACAGGTTTCAGAGGGAACTGGCAGATAGACACCTACATGCCTGCAGAATTTAATGACATAAATCCTTTTTTCTCAGGAAAGCAGCCTAACAACTGTTTAACCGCACAGACAAAAAATCCCCAGATGCTGCTATAATTAGATTTGCAGGAGACTACATCAGACCAGGTTAGTTACTGCACCCAACAGCTCAAATAAATGTCCAGCAAAGAAGGTGGGATTTTTTTCTCTGTGTGCATTCTGCTCTGCAAGGCCTGGTTGATCTTACCAGTCTTTGGAAGCAAAGGTGTGAGAGGGAGCTTGCAAAACTTAGTCTCACATAACGATGAGAATGGAGGTTGCTGGTAGGTTGTTGAGTGCCTGACTCAGCTTCTGGTTTCCTCCCAAATTTTACATCTCACGTTAGAAAAATAACTAATTCAAAAGAAAATGGAGGCTCTTGGCTTTTTCTGCTTGGGGCTCATTGCAGCAGGTGGTCTCCAAGAAGTTTCACATTCCTGGTGGTCTCAGAATAGGGCTGTAAAGTCAAACTTCTGGTCTCATTATAGGACTTCTTTGCCTAACATAGGACTTGGCCTGAATCCCACTGCTCACTCAACGCAGCGTGACCCCGCTGGGCGAATTTCAGTAGCAATCATCCAATTTAATGGCTATGGGCTGTGCCGCTCGACCTTCATATTGCCTAATACAGGGATTTTCATGGACCGGGAGCAAGCTTGTAGAAAATTTGAAATCAATAAACAAAGGAGACTGTTGTTAATTAGTGTTGGAAAGAGTAAATATTCAGACCTCCACACAGCTAGGCATTTTGTCCATGAAATCCTCGCACTGCCAGTCTGATCCTAACTGGGAACAGATTGCTGGCCCAGTAAAGCTGCACAGGGCAGCTCCAGTCTGCAAAAGCAACCCAAGGGCAGATGTGAAGCACACCCTCACAAAGGATTTGGGATATCAGTCCGGGATTGTTTGGAGAGGGGCCTTTCAAACAAAGCCAGTCCCACCACAAGGTTTCACAGGACCAGAGCTGCCTGTGCTGCACAGATGCTGGGGGAACATGGAGTTTTGGTGCTTGGCACCGCTCGCCGGGGCTTTGGGAGAATGAAATGACACAGCGCCCTCAATTCTCACAGCTGGAGGTGGGCTGGGCAGTCTGGCAGTGCTGGGAGAGACTCCAGCAGCAATGCAGCAGAGGTTATCACACTGTGCTCTGCAGCTGGTGGCACTGGGGGGACACAGTAATGGCTCCTTTGGCCCAGATGTTTCTACCACTGCCGGCTCAAGCAGCATTCCACTGCTGCCAGGCGTGTGCAGGGCTCACACAATGTGGGCTTGTTCTCCGCAGCCCCTGGGCGCTGCCGGAACCAAAATGTGATGTTTGCCACCGCGATGAGGCGTGAGAAAAGAACAGAGCCTCGCTAACCCTCTCTGAACTGAGGACAGCTCTGTCTCTTCTGTCTGAAATTAAAACCACATGGAAGCAAGCTTTTGTGGTTGTCTCCTGAAGGATTTCTATGGCTTCCTGGAGGGATGGCCATCACCCATCTCCTCGGGGCTGTGGGTGTCACACCTTACGTGGCATTTCTCTGGGGATGCCTCCCCCCAGACGGGTGTGTGGTATTTCATTAATGGCAGCCTCTTCACTAGAAGATGCCGGTTTGGTGCAGGACAAACACATCCAGGGTACCCAAAATGTCCTCTGGCTTGCTGCCCTTGAGCACAGCCACACGTGTAGCAGTTTCACGTACCTCAATGGCTGAACCTTTCTCCTGGGGAAAGGCACAGTCAGTGCTAGGAACATCAGGTGGAAGTTGTGACCAGCTAAAGCCTATTTGAATAGGATTTTATCCAACACTTTCATGGTGCTGTAGATTTGCTGTAGATATTGAAGTACTAACATCAACTTTATGTGACCATGTGTCCTCTTCCAGTCTCTTACCTTTACAACTTCAGTGCAATCCCCACATCTCCCTGTGCTTCAGAATAGCTTCACCACAGTACAAACAACAAAACCTCAATTCCTGTTGGTCTGCATTGGTTTGCTTTTGGCATCGTTTTGTTTTTAACTGTCAGTGTTAGCCAGGTAGCAAAGCCCCCTGGCCACTCACACGCAGCAGTGACAAGTTCATCTTCCTCTCCGGAATGACTTAGCCTTTGGTTCATCAACATCCTGTCCTTCTGCAGGCCCCCAGCAAGAAAGCCACTGAGAGACTTTCACACCAGGAACTGTTTCTCCTGTTTGCACTACACATGGCCAAGAGCTGCCCAACTGGGAAAGAGCATCAGGTCCCCCAGAGCTTGGTCAGGGGGTTGCTTAGTGGCCGGGATAACCGGTAGCTCCCTGGGGTGGAAAATGGAGCAGATTTGTTTCTTGGTGACCTCAATCAAGTCCCTTCTATACTTTGTGCCTCTGTTTTCCTACATGAAAAAACAGGGTCACAATCAGGATGTCCTCTGTAAATCACCCCACTGATGAAAGGGCTTGGTAAGAGGAAGTTATTAGTATTATCATACTCCTCACCCTCTCTTGCCAGTCCATTCATCTTCCCTTTCCTCCCAGTGCCTCCCAGCACTGCAGGCTTCACCCACATCAGAAGACATTACTCACAGCAGCTCAGCTGCTTGGGCACTGACATGAAAGGAGGCTACACCAGTCTGTGCTGGGTGCCTGTCCCACTCCCGCTCCAGTGCCTCGTGCTCCCTTAGGCTGGTACCAACCCCCTGAGCAGCACTGCCCCTCTATTGCCAATGATGCTGGGGTGCTGACATAACACTGTATCCCATGAAACAGGATCTCTTAGAGTAAGGGGAGTCTCCTTTGTCAGGAGAGTACTGTGAAACACCCCAAAATATCACCAGAATTCACTTACCACTGAGTCAAGGAACCTAATGCAGCACTCGAGCGCAGGTCGAGTTTCACAGAACTGCCGAAAGAGAAGCCTTCCGATCGGCTGCTTTTCACATATGCTGCAGTAATCTCTCTCTAGAGGCAATAAAGAAAAGAAGAGAAGCATGAAAATGAGAAGAGCTTCGCCTTTTGGGTTGAGTAGGAGTTTTAAGCATTTCAAGTGAGGTCAGAGCTACGACCCCAAATCAGAACTGCTGCCTTCTCTCCGCCACCACGTTTCAGATATCCAAGTACAAATATAATTAATGGCTTTAAGACTCAAACAAGAGAGGCTCAATATTTTGGCAAAAGTCCCACAAAAGCCATGCCCCTATTAGGAAAAAAAAAAAAAATCATGGTTTTCTGTGGTGGAAATATATGCACTCTGCAAAGGTACCGCTCAGAATGGCTGCGTTTGTGGGAATGTGGGGAGCAAATTATGAGTCCTTGAAATGTCAGTCATACATTAAAGGGTAGGAAAAACTGGAATTTGTGGAGACCTTCCTGGATGCTTCCTAGATATGCACTGAAGTGCCCCTAATCTCTAGAAACGCTCAACCCACTCGCTACTAAACAATTGTTGCAAACCATGGATTTTCAAAGGTTTCAAAATCTCTGCTACTTACTCGCTAAGCACTATGGAATGGATGGAGCATATGGCACCTAGCTTGTTCAGCACTCCTTTACAGAACAGTATTTCCCTTTAGCTGCCATGTTTAAATGCCATTCTCCTGGGCTGGTTCATCCAGATCCATCGCTCTCAGTAAAGCAAACGTCCTTCACCCATCACAGGGACATGGCAGAAGGGCAGGCATCATTAACTGGCATTGCACCACTACAAATGCCGAGGGCTTCGGGTATCTTTCTGGCAAGAGCAACAGATCCCTCAGCCTGTTTGCAGCAGCAGTACTTGCTCACAACACGTCATTCCTCTAGAAGCACACACATGTCAAACAACATACTGTGTTTCCTTGAGCGTTCCTCTCACCACCCTCCTCGCTGCCATATGGCACTTGCTGTTATTATGGAAACAACCAGCTTCTAAACACATAACATAGCACTGCAAACAGACATACTAAACCCACACAAGTTGTCAGTGCCGTGGTTACTTCTTTCTCAGGCCTAGAGTGGCTCCTGCAATGTCTTTTTTTCCCCTTTTGCCTTGTCCTGCGCCCTCCAGCTCCATCCACCCCAAGGAGAAGATCTATGGCCACACGGCTGCGATGGAGCTCGCCTCTGCCATAGAGGCACCCAGCTGAAGGGCTCACTCAGCACAGGTCGTGCCTGGCACCATATTCTCCAAAACCAGGACATTACTCCGGAAGGGAATATGCTGCACAAGATGTTGGACTTGCTGGGTGGCAGACAGGCAGGAGCACCCAAGGCTGCCTCTTGGAAAAGAAAGGAGGGTGCTTGCCCAGTGCTGTGCCATGTGCCAGTATGGCTGTACTGCAGGCACTGCCCCCGGAAACACCTACTGGGTGGTCACTGGAGACACGGGTTGGGGCTACATGGGCTGTGCTTTGAATTCATTATGGTCCTGCCCTGGCCCGGTCTTCCAAAGCAGCCTGGAACAACATACTAGCATTATTTAGGACAAGTTTTAAAGCCATTGTCCCGAAAGTGGGTAGATTTAGATTAGATATCAGGAAGAAATTCTTCCTGGAGAGGGTGGTGAGGCACTGGCACAGGGTGCCCAGAGAAGCTGTGGATGCCCCATCCCTGGAAGTGTTCAAGGCCAGGCTGGACGAGGCTTGGAGCAACCTGGTCTAGTGGAAGGGGTCCCTGCCCATGGCAGGGGGGGTGGAACTAGATGGGCTTTGAGGTCCCTTCCAACCCAAACCATTCTGTGATTCTATGATTTTGTGGTTGGTATTGCCAGTCCATTTTGGATGAGGATATCACTGAATGTATCCAGAAGATTGCAATGCTTTGATACCCTCTAGCAAATAAAATTGGATTGAAATCACTGTGTAAATCCTAACTTGACTTCCAGTTTATCTAACTGTCCACAGCAAGCCCGTGTCATTGCTTTGTTTGCATGAGCTGGAGCCTCCAGCGTGGAACATCACGGCACAGACACGTATGGCGAGAAGGCCAGCAGCTTGCATGGACGCTGAGCAGCCTCAGGGTGTTCTTGCAAGGGATACAAGCTTGAGCTGATTGACCAGGTAGCTTTTTTGCTGAAAAGGTAATTGCTGAAGGAATGTGCAGACACGCACAGCGCTGAGGTAAAGAAAGGAGTTAAGAAAGAGCCTGAGTGGATCAAAACAGCAACTCTCAATGTCCCAGAGGCCGGCACGAAGCCAGAGGCTGAGGAGCTCAGGTGACCTCTCCTGGGAGGTCTGGAGGTTGAACTACATCTGTCTGATGCTGCTTTCTGCTACCTTGACTAACTCTTGTGAGGGTATGAATAAACTATACACGCTGAATATCGGTAGCACACAGCCTGCCTGATGGCAGGACTCAGTCCATCCAGGAGCTCAAACCAAGAGCATGAGTCCTCACATGAAACAAGCTGCACAAAAAATGCAACTGTCTGAATTTGTAACAGAATAAACCACAAAGGAACAAATACATTAATCAGCTCGTGTGCCTTATATTTTCTCTTGTAGGGCGCTATCTGATGCATGGTGACAGCGCTTGTTGTACAAATGCAGTTAGCTTATCAAAGTTATGATATGGCGACACTCACTGTAGCAGAGGATGCTCTTCTAACAAAAGGGCTACTGATATCAGCTAAATAAGCGTGCAAATTGCACATCCAATAACTGCACTTGATAGCAAAGCAGGCAAAGAAAACAAGCAGCTCAACACTATTACATATGTGGATAAATGAAACATAAAGACATGAGCACAGACTTCCTCCTACAGTACATAACTTGGCCAACATGTGAGAAAGGTGACCCGTTCGAAATGAGGAAAAAGGAAATACCAGAAATAATCTCTGAAAAAACAAGAGCCAGAGCTGTTCCCTGGAGCCATCCACTCCTCGGTCATGTTCGCTTAAGTGCTGGATATACCAATACAGACAATAAATACATGATGCAACTGCTTTCATTCCTTGTAGGTGACACAACGTATTTTCTTAGGCCCTGATCTTGCCATTGGCCTGACTAAGTCTGCTCTCAACTAATTTTTGGGATGCATGGGCCCTGGAGCAGACCAAGAAAGAAAAACACCTCTCTTAGCTAAGGCAGAAAAAAAGAGTGCACAGTTTTATTATAGTAAGGAAAGAAGGAAAGCAGAAGTGTTTTAACAGCGTGCTGCACCCCAAAGACCTGGCTGAGTGGTGTTCACGAGCTGCTGCACGAGGGCAGGGGCTGGGGAGCCACGCGGGTACCACAGCCAGGGGCTCCCTTGGGCTGGGCCTAATCGTCGTGTCGCTCTCGGTCCGCCTGCCAGTAAAAATATCCATCCAGTTTCAAAAATTTAAAAAATAGAAAGAATGATTTCCTGAGGAAATGGAAATGTTAAACACTTGGAAGTGAAACCATATGCTTACGATGATGAAGTGTAACTAAAACAGCTCTGAGAGCGATATCTTTGGTAGTCAGATCCCCCTGCTTCAGCGCAGTCCTGTTTACCACCTGCAAAGTCACCCAAAACAGGGGTGAAAAGCTGGGTGGGTCAAAACCCTAAAAAAAGCAGTCACTTCTCACTGATATCAAACTCTTTATTTAGAAATGGTCACTGGAAAATAATGGGCACATGGAAGCAAGTTCTTCATCTTCCTAACAGAGTAACGACACAGATTAATATAGAAAAGGTAGTATATAAAATGCCATAATGAACATTCATAAGATAAATAATGTTTATTCTAAGTTCTACTGACTCATTTTTCCCTTTAAGTCACAGCTTATGTATTGAAATACTATTTTAAAGAGCACCCAGTACACAGAACATCCCTAAAGTGTTATACCTGCATACAGAAAATGCCATCACCATGCAAAGTCTATGGCCTAATTTGTTCCCTAACAGATATTCTGGTAAGGCTTTGAAAAATACCTAAATACATGCCTAGGAAAAATAGTGCTATTAGTAAAATTTCATACTGATCAAAACATGCCATAGATGCAGTGAAACACAAGAAACAAGGTAATAAAGTTGTTGCCAATAAAATCTCTGACTTCCAAGTAAGAGGGAAAAAATCTAATATTTTAATTAGATAACAGTGTCCCTGTGCCATGTGAAGAATTTTTCATCCTAATTTCCCAATTAAGTACCTAGTATTTTTTTTTTCTCCCACTCAAAATATCACTGTATTGATTTTGGAGTGAAACAGTGATCTGCAGAGAGACCAGGTCCCCCTCCACTTTCCCATTTGCAATATACCTGCAGGTTTTGACGGGTTGGTTGTGAGCTACAAAACCGGGTGCAGACTGCTGGCCAGAAAACAGTCTTTGCTGTTGCTGCTCATTCAGTGTAAACGGCAGGTGTCTAAAGGAGACCGCGACGGAAAGTTGTACTTCTGTTTCTGGGCAAGAGCCCTTGTTTTGGAGGGCTCCTGATCCAACACCTGCACCCAGCTGGTGAGGTTTCCTCCTGTAAATGTTTGGGGGTGGGGGGAATGAGCTCAGCTTAAATCTCCCTACTCAAGTCTACAAAAGCCAGGAACACCTTTTCAGTCATCACTGGTGTGGCCCATGACTGCCCTTATATACTACCTATTAAGGAGCATTTTATTTTCCTTTTTGCCACACCGGAATCCCAAGAGAAGATATTTCAAAGAAATGCGTTGGAGAATCGCCAAGAAGACATGCACCATGCTGCTGCACAGGAATAGTTGGACTTGGCCTCTGGATCTCCACCCTCCTTGGCATTAAATCAGCCTATATTACAAGTGAGCAAGATCCAAATTCAGTGTAATGCTGCTGCCTAAAAACAAACCACCAAAACCAAAAGCCAAAAAACCCCACCCAAACCAAAAAACCCCACTCTCAACACCTGGAAAACCCAAAGTGGATTTAGGAAGAATTAATCCTTCTTTTCCTGCTCATGTGCAATGACCCCAGATGAGAACTCATCTGCCCTTCCTAATTTATTTTTTCTTCAAGGTGAATCAAAATTTTTCAAACAGACATTGCTCCAAGTCT